GGCAGCTCGGGAGGACGGGCCCGGCGGCGGAGGCTTTGCCAGGTGGCGCCGCGCGCTGCTCGTTGGGAGCTGAAAAGCACGGAGCGAGGTCCCGAAACGGCTCTCGGAGACATAGCGGCGCTCACCGGGGCTTGCCGAGGGAGAAACGGGGCCGTCATCAAGGCACTGGCATCCCTCCCTGTCTTTTCTTACTTGGCAGGCGAGGAAACAAGTCTGAAAGCCTGCAAAGCCTCTGACACTACCCTTACAAGAGGCTCTGAAATGTGCGGGCCTGCTCTTCAGCCTACTTTGGTTATAGAAGCCTGTTAGACAAAGCAGTAAATCCACGCGGTTTTTTGTGTTTGCTTCTCTAGATGCCTGTGACCGTGGGCCCGTACGGGCAATCACAGCCCAGCTGCTTTGACAGAGTAAAGATGGGTTTCATGATGGGCTTTGCAGTGGGCATGGCAGCAGGAGCACTGTTCGGCACATTTTCCTGCCTCAGGTATGCCAAGGAAATGGCTATTGTGGACAGGTTGTGACAGAGTGATAGCCGGAGAGAAATGCTCCCGCTCTGGGGTTGGGAAGGGAGGTGCGGGTGTGGCCCTGTGTCATCACATAGGTGAAACTTTGCCAGCGGCCCTGAAATAGCCACAGTTCGAGAGCCTGCTGTCAGGCCCCCAGCCTCAGACAGGAAAGTCTGACAATGGTGGGGCATCGCCCCGGGTCAGCTGAGTACAAGGAGATCGCAGTTTCGCAGACCTTTTCCTGCCGCTCCTAAGGGAGGTTGTGTTGGGAAGCTGAGACTGTGGAAGATCGGCTCCAGGAGGAGCTGGGTGAGTTGTCTGTGCAGATACACGTGCAGCCCTCTCCTCGCTCTAAAGCTTCCTGAGGTACTCTGCAAGCTCTCGGGTATTTGCATTGTGGTTGCTTTGGGTGTCCCATCCCCGTGCACGGAGGCAATTACCGTACTGACCCCGAGCCTTATTTGCAAGAGCGGAGGCAGAGCTGTGGCTGGCACTGGCACAATCCCATTGTGAATCAGAGAGGGACAATATTCCACCTTCCCACAGCACTCCCCGGCATGCTGGCACGGAAACAATGTTTGCTGCTCCAAGTTAGCTCTTGTGCTGCTCACTGACTGGTTTTGGCACACAGGATCCATGAAAAGCAATTACTGAAATAAGCTCTTTCATATTTTGCAGAACTCTTTCTGCTTGAGGTTTTTCAGTCTGTGATTAAACACGGGCGATGGTTTGGTAGTGAGCCTAAAAGGAGAAAAAGGCACAAAGTCTAATCTGATAGAGTTTTAAAAGTTTTCTGCTCTCTCTCAGATCCTGGAGAATACTTGTAAGCAGTACAATGCTAGCAGAAAATACAGATTTAGGGTATTTAGAGGAAGTGGTGACAGTGGTTCTGTCGTACTTGAATGACCCAGCTACGTTACTTCTGCTGTACCATTTTGAGGGAAAATCTTCATGTTTTAAAAATCGGGTGCGTGAAATTCCTCAGACCCTACATTCACTGCAGTGCTTAAAAGCCAAATACGAGAGCTTCCTGAGAAGGAACAATTCTTTTTGTTTTGGTCTGACCTCAGGTAAATGGGAACTGGAGAACAGAAATGCCTCTGGACACTTCTAGGCCTTTCAAGTTTCTCTCGTATTAAAAATATGGTGTCAGTGGTAAATAAAACCATGTTGCAAACTAACTTTCTACGTTGGTGGTATTAAAAATACTTCCACTGCAGCCAGACAGGATGGTAATACAACAGCTCAGACCCTTTTTATGCTCTGACAAGTCAAATACTTGGACAGCCCCATTTATTTTTTTCCCCCCAAATTGAGGGTATTTGGGACGTTAGCAGATAAAGCTGTTCCTGCTAACGGCATGGCAGGAGGGTACAGCGTCAGCTGCTACCGCTGCAGGAAAAAATACACATGGGCCATTGGCAAGGGTCACTCGAGTGCCCCAAAGAGAACAGCTCCATTTTTGTTTGCAGTAGCTCAGGCACAGGGCACCGCAGCCAGTCTCCTTGCGGAGGCAGGCGGTTCCATTTTAAATTTAGACTGAAGAGGAGGTGTTTGATTTGGGCACTCAGGCAACCATTAGCTGGTTGTATCAGATGTTTTCTGCTGCATGTCTGTTACCTGTCAGGCTTCAGCTTTTATATAATTCCTGTGTTTTTCTTTATCTCAGGATTGGCATGAGAGGACGAGAGCTGATGGGTGGAGTTGGCAAAACAATGATGCAAAGTGGTGGGACGTTTGGGACATTCATGGCTATTGGTATGGGAATCCGCTGCTAACCTGGAGCTTGGGTTTTAACCTGGAGTGCCCCCATCCAGCCATTCCTCCTCTGTACCATAATAAAATCTTTAGATACCTGGAAGTGAGAGCTCTTCATGAAATGGTGAAGCACCATCCTCCTTGCTCTGCTGATTGTAAACATGCTTTTTACCAAATTTCTACTTTCCTCCCATGACAATGAGAATTAATAATCCTTTGTACTACATATTAAAGTTCCTACTTCACAGGCGTAAGCACAGCGCGCATATTTCTCCCTTTGGCACCTGGGCAGCTCACATTCCCTGATGTGTTGATGTGGAGCCACTCCATTGCATTTGTGCATTCCTGAGCCTAGGAGAGTTACTCTGTGGCTAGTTCAGATCAATTATCAAATTTCTCTCCTCTTGCAAAAATAGGTGGGTTGAAGCTGGCCCCATTTCTGAATTCCAGGTAATACGGGGCAAACACCCTCACAGAGAGCGAGGGACCCCAGAAGGGCGTGGGCAAGTCCTTCTGCAACTGAGGGCAAACTACAGCAGCTCAGACACCTTCCTCCAGCCAGCCTGGCAGGATGTGGGGGCAGGAAGCAGTCAGCGAACAGCACAGTTACAGGTACAGCTGTGCTACTAGAGCTGGAAATCATTAGATGGCTGGAAAATGGAAAACAGCTCCTGTCACATGACAGCTGAAGGTATTTTGTGATGAGTCACAAGGATGACTTTGACACCAGATGTGGGAGATGTAACCTCGTCAGGCCTTGGGCAATGCCTTTCCTGAAGCTCTCCCCTCAGGACGAGCTGTGCTGCAAGTTACTGTTAGCACAGACCGGCACAGTGTGACTACCTGCCTCTTTTTCAGCTCCGGAGGGTGCAGCCTTACACTCTTTGGGAGGCGAGGCGCACGCTGCTGTACAGCCCTGCCAGAGAAGGGACGGACAGAAGCGGTGGTTGCGCCTGCCTCCAGCAATAGGAGCTTGTAGTGGCTTTTTTCATTCCCTCGGCAAGGGAAGGGGGCTTCACCTGTAGGAGCTGTGCTACCAGAAACAGTCTTTTCCTACAATCTATCTGCCTTACTGGGTCTACAAGGTGCTCAATGCTTCCCAGGGAGAACAGGGCATTACTCCCTACCATTCACCAGCCCCTGTAGCACCGCCTGCAGCTGAACTATGAAATGTTTGGTTTAGTGTTGCAATCTCCTGTTATTTGCCTTTTGGAGCAAGGCTTATCTTTGCTCCTCCTTTATTTCTGTTTAAGGATGTAAGAGGACAGGTTAGCAGCAGCAGAACCTGAACCAGCACCTATACAGCCTCTACCTAGCACAAGTGCCTTTTCCCCAGTTTTTAAGGGAGAATCACAAATCTGCCACTAAAAGCCTGCTCTCTGCTGTCATGCGGCTCAGTAACCTCAGAGAGAGAAATTCTGCCAACAACAATGAAGTTGAGCAACACAACTGCTCTGGAACAGCTCACGTTTTACTCCAGGTGGCACTAGTGGATTAATAGAATCATAGAATCATTGAGGTTGGAAAAGACCTCTAAGATCATCGAGTCCAACCATCGACCCAACACCACCATGCCCACTAAACCATGTCCCTAATCGCCTCATCTACTCGTCTTTTAAATACCTCCAGGGATGGGGACTCAACCACT